TTATTTTTGAATTGCTGGCATTGGCCAACTCCTTGAAGAAGCTTCCTCTGATCTGACATTATGTATATTTCACCGGGTTGTTCAGGTTTCACTGACATGTTTTTTTTACTAGTTTGACTCTATTACAAGACCAAGAACTTCTCGAAACCCTTATTCAAATCTTTAACCCAGCACCTAGCATAGCACTTGCGCTAGTAAATACTCACTGAATTTAATTCCCCAAATTTAACTCCTTTCACAACCTCTCTTGAACTGGATTTATTTATAAATAAATGAACCTTTTGATCTACATTAGTTCAAAGATCCATTTCAGCACTAGAATCCTGTAACTCACTGAACAGAGAATTATACTGTTTCTATCTCATAAAACCATGCTTTATTTCCTGAATAAGTGTACAGTCTTTACAAAGTGATTTATTGTTTACAAGATGATTAAGTGTTAAGTGCTGAAAAAACCCAAAAAATTGTGAAGAAGATTAAAGGAGTCATAATCTCACCACAAGAATATAAAGCTTTAAGTAGGTTATAAAATACTTATACCATCTTCACTTTTTAAATTAAAAGCTTCCATTTTATCAAATGGCATGTAGGGTTTGTGAATTATTGGATAAAATGCAACTTTACACTAAAAGCATAGTATCAAAATACTAATTTTTACAGTTTAATAGTAGTAGTTTTAGCAAATTATCTTCATTCTATATGTATTACTTTGCAACACTTTTCATCTGATATATGATGAGTATTTTCCTATAATTTCATATGTGATGTTTTAACCCTCTCTCATTTTTTGTTAATACACGCCGTTAATACCTGGGTCATATTCCCCCTCTCACTCATTTTACTGAGCCACCTTTCATGTTCATTTTTCAAAAGATTATATAATTTCATCTTAAATTGCTTTATTCACTTACAAAATGTAATAAACATTCTCTATGAGTATTTATCTATACTATTACCTTAAGCAGATTAGTATATTTTACTACATCATTGTATTGTCATTTGTTCAGTTAATACCTACATATTAAACATTTAAGTTGTTTCTTGCCTCTTGTTATTATATTCTTTTTTCTCTTTCATTTCTTTTTCTGTTTCTGTTTCTTTTTCTTTTTATTGGAGATGGAGTCTCACTCTGTCACCCAGGCTTGAGTGCAGTGGTGCGATCTTGGCTCACTGCAATCTCTGCCTCCCTGTTTCAAGTGATTGCCCTGCCTCAGCCTCCCAAGTAGCTGGGATTACAGGAATGCACCACCAGGCCTGGCTAAGTTTTGTACTTTTAGTAGAGGTGGGGTTTCAACATGTTGGGCAGGCTGGTCTTGAACTCCTGACCTCAGGTAATCTGCCCCGCCTCGGCCTCCCAAAGTGCTGGGATTATAGGTGTGAGCCACCGCACCTGGCAAGATGTAACAAATCACCTGGCTTATGTATGTGATGAAATGTCATTTTTTATAATAAAACTCTTGTATTGAGATTAAGCAGATCAAAGGTGATCCATATTTGTCTCCCATAGAAAGAGTACACGAATCTGTTTTCCCACCAGCAGTATATAAGAAGATCCATTTCCTTAACCTTCAATAACATTAGATGTTAACATTATCTTTAATCTTTACTATATTGATGAGTTTAAATACTAAATTATTGCTTTAGATTACAATATTTACATATTGGCTATTTTGTAAATCTTTTATTAACTGTATATTAATGAACATTTTGTGCCCATTTTCTTTTAGAGTATTCATCTTAATTTTATTGACTTGAAAGCATTATGTTTGCAAAGCTTTATTTTAAAATATTGAAGAACACTTGGATGAACTGGGTAGTGTGGAGATCATATTCTTGGATGCTTGCTGAGACTTTGATATTTAAGCTGTTCCTCATAGGTGTTAACGTTTGAAAACTTGCAACCAACTGATCAAAAATAGAAAAAAAATTCTTTGGACATTCTTCCCAAGCAATTTGATGGTCAGGGTAAATGGGACTGCATGATTATGGATGAAACTAGAGTCCTTGAATATAATTGCACTCATAAGTCAAAGAAGGCAATTCATAACAATTTGGCCCAGCATTTTAATTTTATCTGTTAAATTATTCATGTGAATACTTTCATGAGTTAAGCCATGAATATTTGATTGGTGGTTGATTCATAACCATAAACTATATTAGCCCTTTATTTTTCTCATTTATGTCCAATTAACATATATGGGAAGGTGGAGAAAATTTATTCTTCTTAATATGAGAAACATCTTTCCCCACAGACTTATTGAGGCTGTCTGATGAACATTTACTATGACTCCAGGTCAACATTACGCCTGTTCTGGCAGTTTAATAATTGTTCTAATAATAATTCTCATTACATAGAGGGAAAATATTACAAATCTCTTCTTTGCAAGTGAGGAGATGACATTCAGAGAGGTTAAATAATATTCCAGAATCCACATGATATGTTGGTGGCTGAGATTAGATTCAAATCCAGGATTAAAAAATTGAATGTTCCCCACCCCACAGTGGCTCTGATGATTGTTCTCAATGAGCCAGGTCAGCATGCACGTAAATCACCACTCTCTGAGTCTGCTCTATACCTTTTCTGTTACCAGAGTAAATTGCTAAGTAGATATCCAATACCCATTTAGTCATGTCAGTTTTGTATCACTTAACAAAAATCTCTTCTGTCAAATAAACAGGTATTTACAGCCATTTCCCTGCTGTACACAAATATGAGAAAGTGCACAGTTTGGCAGGCAGCTAAGAATGGGTGGCTAGATGTGAATGTCAAAAGCTGCTACATAAAGGCTAATTTGTGGGTTGTGACATCTGGTAAACTGTGGCTATTCAATTCCTTTTAAGTCTGAACAAAGTATGGCATTTTACCTTGTCAGAGAAAGAGCTTTTAGTCAAAGGACTGTGAAGATATCAAGTAATTATCTCAATAATTACTTTTAGAAATCCAGGGATGGGCACCCAAAAACATCCCAGTTATTTTAGCTTGAGTTAGATAATTCATAGATCATTCATATATATATGTGTCAAATTTAGTTTAATGATATACTTTTTCCTAGCAGTGTAATTTCTCTATATGCTGACTTAATAACTGCTTTATGAGAGCTGTATGTGGATCACCATTGATAAATGCATTAAATCAGTTGTTCCATAGCCTGGCTGAGAATTTTAATCTTCTGGGAAGTTATAAAAACACATTTTTAACTCTGAGTCTCTGGAGATCGGGATTTTTTTTCTGAGATAGGGCCTGGCAACCAGCATTTAAAGTGTTCCCTGGTGAATCTGATATGTAGCCTGGTTTAGAAATCACTGCTTTAACCACCTAATGCCTCATCCTCATTAGAACTTTACTCATTAAAATTAAACACGAATTTGCCTTATAATTTGGAAGTCTAACATGTGACTCAGCCCAAGCGACTCCTGGGTTTGAAAGTCTTCTGTCCAGCACAAACCCTGAAATCCTTAAAAATGGGTGTGTGGGTCTTTCTTGTCTTGGTGTCTGGCCACCTTTAACTCTCATCTCCTGCCACTTGCTACACATATGTGCCACATTCTGCTCCCTTGCTATTCACAGAGAATGCCAGACCTATTTATACCTCCCTGTTTTGATCCTTAGACATCCACATTTTCTTTTCTGCCTGTAAAATCCCAGGGATTTCAAGGATTCCACCTGAACTTCCGGGCCACTGGGCCTGTTTCTCTTTTTCCTCGACATCCCAAGGACTCACTCCTTGGTACTGACTCTTTCCAGCCTGACACTTTGTTACACTGTGCTGGGTTATTTCTTTACATTTTCATCTCAACCCCTATGTTGGGGACAGAAACCAAAGAGCCCAGCGCCTGCACATACTGGGCACTCAGTAAATATCCCAAATGAAGGAGTTTTCTCAGATATGCATTGTTATCCCCATGACGCCTCTACAACTCTCTTCTCAATGCTATGACAAATGATTTCTCTTTCACATAGTACAGCTTTAAAAATGTTCTCTTTTGGATCTTCAGACTTGTTTGCTGCTCTCTATTAACTGTGTTTCAGTTTGGTATTTGTGAGCAGTACAATCTGTTTAGTACATCTGTTCTTTATAAGACTGCCTTTCTCGTGAAATAGTTTGTATTGGATTTTCTGGAGTACTTTAGAGTCAATCACTGGGAAAAACTATCACCACAGCTGATTGATCCGGGTGAGTCCTGCTTTGGACGTGGTTTAAGACTGCAGTCCATAGGCTGCGTCTGCCTCTGCTCCCAGCTTCTCATCCTCACAGTGGACAGAAAAGCTGCTCTCCACAGCTTGTTTGGGACGTGCAACCTCAACTCCAGACTTACTGAGATTCGTTGGTAGAGGTCCCAAAGGATCATTCTTGAGGGAGCGTGGCTGGATGATCAGTAGATCAGTGATGCACAGCTCACGCTTTCCTTTCGAATTTTGCTTGTGGACCGCTGTGATAACTGAGGATGTTTTCACATTCGCTGTGTCCCACAAAGCAGGGAAGCCAGAGCAGCGAGGCCCACGGGGCAGGCGCCGGGCTCTCCTATGCCCTGCGGGGAAGTGGAAGGCGCAGGGGAGCAGGGACGGTAGAACTGAGGAAAAGCAGGCCGTGGGGTTATTCCCCGAATGAATCCCGACCCGCACGTAATCTGGGGTTTTCCCAGGAACTACCTGGAGTCAAGAACAGAAAGGAAAAGGACTGTGGAAGAGGGGAGGAGCAAGCAAAGGGGCAGCATAGGTGTGTCGTCCAGTCTAAGTGCAGCGGAGCGCACATGCCCTGCTCCTGCCACGCGTTGTCGCGAGAGACTTCCTCTTGCATTGCAGGCTTCCCGCCCACGGCCCAGTTTCCGCACTTTATGTGTGCATAAAGGGGACCCTCAAGGGAGCCCTGATGGGGTGAGCCTGTGTGGCATTCCCATGGCTGCGAGATGCCGCAGGGTCACTGAGAAGGTAAGTGAAGGAGTGCAGTCACTTCTGCGGAGCTGACCCAGCCGCCTTCTTCTTCCCGCCCGTCCCGCAGGCGGCTCCCCAGCACGGCCAGCACCTGTGCGGGGCCTCCCTCTGCTCCGTGCACAAGTGGCGGCGCTCCTGGCCTGGAGGCTCCGCCACACGCTGCGCGCCGGGAAGAGCACCCTCGCCGACCTGCTGCTGCCAGTCCTCTTCGTGGCCTTGGCCATGGGCTTGTTCATGGTGAGACCCCTTGCCACCGAGTACCCTCCCCTCAGACTCACACCTGGACATTACCAGCGGGCCGAGACCTACTTTTTCAGGTAAGTTGTTTTCGTTCCTTTGATTTCAAAATTATGTCAAGGTAGATTATGAATTGCAATAGCTTTGATACTTTTGAGAATTCTAGATAAAAACTTGAAATGTAAATGTTTTCATTGTTTCCGAGGTCTGAATTCACGAGGAGATCCTTGGAGAAGCTTTTACTCCTCTCAGGCTGTCTCAGGGCAGGCGCTTAAGGCTAATGAGGCTGGCTGGCGTCCGAATCCTGAGCCTCTGACCCCTCCTCATGGTGGCTGAGTCCCTGCGCGAAAGGGCTCATGTGGTCACCCGCTGACCTGCAGAGGGCCCGCACGCCCTGCCCCACAGGAGGGCTGGATAGACTCCGGAATTTGTAGGATTCTAGAACGTATTAGATATATGTAGTATATTTCACAAGGCCCTCCATAGTTGTTTCTGGGACAACAGCCCCACGGTTGCACACACCTCTCTGACAGCGCGGACGGAATGGAAGCCCTAAGCCTCTCCAGGCCAGGGTCAGTCGAGCAGGATCTGTTGCCGGTGCATTCAGAAAAGCCTAGGTTTTTGCCACCAAATGAATTAACTAAAGAACTCAGAGCTTTCTGGGTTGCAGATTCATACACAAGGGTTGGGAACCTAAAATGGAAACCCATCCCCTAAGTTCCTTTGCCTTAGTTTAGCGGGCTCCTCTCTAGATTCGGGATAATCTGTGCAGAGTCAGGGAGGCCCACCTCCTGCCGGACACGGTCATGGCTGTGATCCCAGACATTGCTACATGGAACATGCAGAATCGTCTTCAAGGTGGCTATAATTTTTCACAGTTGGAATGGGGAGACAAATGACTGGTTTACAACTGCACAAGCATACTGGCTAGGCTTTTCATCATGAAAACAACTAAGAGGGGTGTCAGTCCTGCTTTTGTCATATATATATGCTTATTAAAATAACCAACTAATCTCAAAGAGCCTAGTAATATTTGTGTAATTTTTGTAGTGATGTGTAATTTGGAATTAGATTTAAACAAATGCAGGTACAAAGTAAAAATCTATGGTAAACTCTTCAGTTTGTTCCCTTCTTGTCACACTCCTCAACTATAAAAGAACTGTCACTATTTTGAGTCTTTTGATTATAAAATATGTTTCTTGAAGAAAATAATACAAAGCACAGGCTAGCCAAAAAATAAAATAAAAAGCAATCACACGTAATTTTACCAGAGATATCTACTGTAAACCTATTGGGATAATCTGCCGCATGATATACATAATACTTGTATCTACATGCATTTGTGTTTTTATCACAATAAGATTACACTATAATACTCTATGTAACTCTTTTGCACTCCATAATATTTTTGTATCTCTTCTTGTATATCAGTACAACCACTTTACTCATGAAAACTACAGTACCTTGACTACTGAATGATTCTTTAGTCATGTGTTGTTGGAGGCACATTAATTTATTTAGACAATCTCTTTTTGGGGGCATATAAAGGTTTATTTATTTGTTTTTATTTTCCTATTATAGGCAATGCTGTATAAGAATCTTTGTTTAGTTAGATTTATGTGACTACTTATTCTTACCATCATACATTTCTGTTAGAATTTTGGGGGGCAAAGGCATCAGTATTTTTATGGTAGATATTGCCAAATTATCCTTATAAATGTGTGCCAATTAACAGTCTTATAAAGTCAGTGATTATTTTCTTCAACAGATATTTATGGTGCACTTACTACATGCTAGGTACTGTTCTAGGTGGTAGTTATATGTGTAATTAGAACAAACCAAAACCCCTAGTTTAGTGGGAGAAAGGAAGTTCAGTTCTCTAAACTCCAACTAATAGTTTTGATAGTCCAAACCTGATATTTCATTGCTTTATTAGGCAGCTCTTTGATTACTATTGAAGTTGAATATTTTCAAAGTTTTTTTGTTATTTAAAATTTTACTTTACATGTTGAACATATTAAGCATCATCTATACGTGTATTTCCACATCATATTTTGCTTCTAACTGTCTTCTCCTTCACCCCCTCCCCTCTCTCAACTTTACCTCTTGTCTTTTTCTTCTGAGACTGTTGAGAATTTCTCTACATGGTGTTCATTTCACTGATACCATTTTCACTTGACTCCAAATAGCCATTCACTTTCTCTACTGCATTATTAATTTGACGATTACATTTTTCATTTGAAAGCATTTTTCCTACTCTCCCAGTATTCATTTGTTATAGAAGTAATGCACTTCAAAATTATTTTGAGTCTGAGAATTAAGATATTTTAATATTTTTTTCTGTTTCTAAGAGTTACTATTTTAAAGTAAGATATTAGTTTGTTCTCATTTTTGATAATGTTACTTGAATTATGAAACAGAGGCATTCACATATCTGGAGGTTTATTTTCTCATCCTTACAGAGGAGTCCTGCCTGCACAGGCTATAGTACCTGATCCATCAGTGACTGCAAGTGCCCCACTTCTAATGGTTAATTTCTGTCTAAAGAGGAAGGAACGAGCTTACATTTTCTCAGTTTTTATTTTATTAGAATGGTAGTTTAGTTAGTTATGAGGAAAAAGTAAAAAGCTACCAGAGAGCATCCACATTGATGGAACATTTTCTTGCTTTTTGCTATTATCAGTAATGTTTGATAGTGCTAGTCAAAAATTAGTGGGGGAGAAGAACAACTATCATCATTTTATCATTTTATGGCCGCTGTAACTGCTCTTGTTAGGAACTCTCCACTGACATTCAGGACTTTTCTTCTGCATACTGGATCCTCTCTGAGTGTGTACCTTGATTTCTCTGAAGACAACCCCTGTTGTTTTGCATTTGTATTAAACTTGCCTCTTTCCACTTTAAGTGTCCTCGTATGAGTGATAAATGATGTGGCCATTCCTTCTTTATTGAATCTGAGCACCATGGTCTAAATCTTGGCACAGGAATGATTCACAAAGGGGCCCAGATTTTCACATCTCATAGTCCTCCTGACTCCCTGTGTACACAGGCCACCCATGGTCACTCAGCACCCATCCTTGCTGCTCCAAATGTGGGACAGCCCCATTTTATAACATCCGTGAGCCGTCTCCTTGGGAAAGCATATAGGATTGCCATTACACTCCCTTGCTTTCTCCTTAGGGTAACTCCCTGTTGATGGGTGTGTAATTCGGGCCTGCATGTAGCTTTCAAAAATCATGAACGCATTAGCTTTGTGCTGATTTGGAAGGTACATATAAATCTTATTAGTGTTCTGATAATTCTCAATAGAGCCCCATGCTTCTAAAATGTTAGAGTTGAGAAAATGCAATTATATATCTACATTAAATTCGCTAAAAATTTCTTGCAGAATACAAATCTTCATAAAAGCACAAACCAGAAGAAATGCACCAGAGAGGTTCTCTTCTACCTGAATCCTTCTACAAATGATGGGAACAGATGACACCCACCCCCCCCAGCTTATAGAGGGTTTGAGCTTCTTGGGCCCAAACAAACCTGGGGCTTTGGCAACTCAGTCTCCAGTGGTCTCCAACTCACATGCTTTGGTGGCCAGGTGGGGAGTGAAGGCATAACATCCACAGGGCTGTAAAGATGCTTGTTTTGTGACCAGACCTCCACAGCACATTGACTTTATAGACTGTGAGGAAGGAGAAGAAGTATGGAGCATATCTGTGCTGGTTTGGGGACTGGTCAGCCATGCATGACTCAGGCTTCTGACTCAGTTTTATTCTGAATCAACTTGCTCTCTGACTGCTGTTTTGAGAGTGCTCCAGAAATTCTCCCTCCCCACTAAGAAGTGTGAGAAAAGGGTGGCAGGGCCTCTGTGCCTGTTCAGGGTGGAGGCGAGCAGCATAGGGCAGCCCCAGAGAAATTAGAGGAGGGTGGTGCAGCTCTGAGAGATACAGTGTGAACACAGCTGCCCCTGCTTGCAGACATCTGAGGCTGGTAAGACCTGATGGACCTGCTCAAAACCTTGAGCAGCTCCACATTGTCCAAGGGATGATATTGGCACATCTTAGCATACCCTACAGGTCCTCCTGGTGCCTCTGCAGCCTCTGCCACTCCCTTTATCTCATTCTCTGAACTTCAGAATGACACAATCATATATGATGTTGCTGCATCTCTCCCTGTTTAAGGAAATGGAAACTACCTTCCTCTTCTCAGTCCTCTGCCACTCCCACTGTATACACTCTAATGTTCCCAGCAAAATAAGAACGCTTCCAAAATCTGGCTCGGATGCCCCCTTCCAGGGATCCCCTGTGGCTGCTCTCTCAACTGAATGTCTGTCATTATTGCGTGGATGTCACTGTGGCTTAACTTAGTGCTGGAGATTCTTGCCTTGCTTCCTTCAGGGAGACTTCCTGGAGGGTAAGGATCAAGCCTCCTTTATATCTGTACCTTTAGTTCCTGCCAACATGTCTAGAAATGGTTACTTTCATTAAATCCTTCTTAAATTGAAATAATGAAAATGAAATGTACCAAAAATGTCTTCCAGAAATTAACTTGGACAGGCAGCAGACAAACAAATGGAGCATGGAAAGACGGCTCTCTACACTTTAAAAATATAGAATATTTAGACTCCATGACCTCATCTTCTGGGATGGGGCTCTTAGTCCTTACTAGAGGAGATGCTCCTAAATACACTGCTAAGTTCACTGCATTACAAAAACCTGTGAGTCCTCCTTGAACATGGACCTGACCCTGGCCCACTGTCTGCTGAGTTTGTTCCTACCCCCAAACTCTCTCTCTTTTTCTCATAGTTCTGCAACCAGAAAAAGACTTAGACGGAGCAAGTGTAGGACTCCAAGTCCTGGTTGTTATACCAGTTCTTTAAGAACCCAAGAGGGCCAGTGGATGTATGTAGCCAGAGAGTGCCCACTGTCACCATCCCCTTCTCCTGTTAGCATGCCAGCAGAAACTGGGTGCCTTTTTTAGTTTTCTAGGGCTGCTATAGCAAAGCACCACAAACTGTGTTGCTTAACAGAAATGTATTTTCTCATTGTTCTGGAGGCCAGAAGTCTGAAATCAAAGTGTCAGCAGG